AAACGAACGCCTACTCAACTGTATATTAATCATTTAGTTCACTTACAATGTTATTGTCAATGCAATGGCTCATAGCTGAAAAGAGTATTACTTCTGCAACAAATCAATTTATCCTGTGCAATAATCATAAAAAGTCTTGTCTTTTCTTTCATTCAATTTGAAATCAAAATTCTTAGGGAACGCCGACCGATTATTGAAAATATAAACACGGACCATTATATATATTTATAAACATATTTATAAGCATTGGATATTCAGCAATATGTTAAAAGGACAATCATCACAGATTTATTGAAACAATGCCTTCAATTCCTTACATATTGATCATAACTTTACAATTTGTATAACCTCTCTTAACATTTCTTCAAACTAATATTACAGATAATATGAAAATTTAATGAACGCCCAAAATTGCAAAATTCAAAATATGCAAGTGAGAATGATGTCACTACAACTTGTCGTATTGAAATCCGTCTACTGAATGTAAGAAGAATTTTTATTGGTCATTTTAAAATTGCAAACTGAAAGCTGGGAATTTCATTGGCTTTTCTAACGTTAAATGTAAAGGAGAGTTCTTGTTATTCTAAATTAAAATAATAAGGGTAGTTCTAAAAAAATGCAAAAGATAGTTGTTGCCATCATAAAATAAAATGCAAAGGATAGTTCTAAAATAAACTTTATGTATGTTTTATTATGTTGTGGATTGGTTATTACATATGCAAATTAGCCAGCTTTACTTCGGCCGGGTATCTTTTCAAAGATAATTCTTGTTACCCATTCCACGAGATCAACCATCAGAGTATTTGTTCAAAAGATAAGTGTCGGATGTTTCAAAATAATGAATTCACAATTTTTCGTAAAACTGACAACATCCTGCTTAAATATAGTTAACCTTTCTCACAATCTCTCTTTCCAACCAGGATGTCAGATTTATCATCTTCTCTATAAATAAATGCAATAAGGATGTTTCTGTATTTTTATGTGTTTGTTTGCTTCGTACGTTATCTGATAGTTACACTTTATATACATTTTAAGGAATACATTTGTATGCTACTAAATGTACAAAACCACAATTATATAATCCGAACTATTACTGATTTATTTTACATTTTGTTTATCTCGATAGTACGGAAAAGCATAAGTGCCATGTGTGTGTTTTTTATTTCGACTTGCTAATTTGAGATTTTGAGTTACATAACTCGAAATTTCGACTCGAAATTTCGACTGAATAACTCGAAAGTTTGACCCACTATTTCGATATATCGACTTACGATTTAATGACTCGAAATATCGACTTACAAACTCCAAAGTCCGATTTTCTCAGTCGAAATTATGTGATTTTATGTCGTCAGAATCGGATAAGTCGCAATTAGATATGAAAAGAACAAAAGACGATTTGAAAAAAGCACAAATCTGTTCAAGGTTTAGACAAAAACTCGGATAAGTTATTTGTTAAAACGAAGAAATAAGACGAAGAGTTAGAGGCCATAGAATCTCGATAAATGCGTTTACTAACAATTTATTATTCTACGGAATACCACAGGAGGGCACCGATAAAAAAACCGTAAGCAGTTAGCAAAAGACTTCTGCATAAATATATTGAAAACCTTTTCCGCAAATGAATTTGTGTTCGACAACGCATATAGAATTGGGCAGGAAAAAAGGTTCGAAACCCAGACATGTGGTGGTCAGATTTCCTTACTTAGAGGAGCGCGAAGCTGTCCGGAAATCGTCTTTTGAAAGGGATATCGCCGACTCTATGAAATCACAAAAAAAGGGCGTTTGAGTCCAACTACCTAACAGTGTCAGGGAGGTACGAAAGCCACTGTATCCAGTTATGGAACGCCGCGAGGGATTAACATAAAAACGTAAAATTCATTGGAAACTTTTTTCATTGAGGAAGAAAAGTACATACCAGACGATCCGATGGAATAGGACAAAATACTATATAATATATAAAACTATTCGTCTTAACAGTACACGTCTGTAAATTATATAAACATGCATGCCTTTCCATCATCACTGAACCGGTTATATTGTGTATGGCTATAAATTTGTTATTTGTTTTATGCCAATAAAACTATTTGAGTTAAGTTGAGTCGAGATATATACATTTTTGTTTTACAAAACTGAGGATAAATAAGTTTTCAAATTTGTGATAAGTCTCTGAAATTTTGAATGAATGATTGAGACGATATCTTTTAAGGAGGATTTACATACTAACTACCTAGTGTCAAAATAATATTTTGTATAGATTCCCAATTGAGATTTTTTTCTATATACCTATTACGGATGTGAAATTTTGTTTTCAGATGATATGCAAAGAAATGATGTTTTCAAATTTTGTTTATATGATGTTTGTCATACCACTGGATTTTAAAATGTTTCTATTTACAAATAAGACATATGTTAGCAAATATAACCGCTTTTGTATTGAATAGATGTATTAATTTTCTCTATTATATGCATTTGAAATGTTGAATCAACTGAGACATTTTGTTTGTTTGTTTGTTTTTATTTACGCCTTTTCCAACAGCATTTCAATCATATAGGCCGGGTAGTTTCCTAACCATCGTTCCAGGAGAGTTACACCAGTACTAGACTACCTTCCTCCACGCTAAACTACCAAAGCATCTCCCGGAGATCGAACCCACGCCAGAGAGGTAACTGGATTAGAAGTGATCGACTCTAACCCCTCGAACTGAGACATTACGTACATACAATGAAGGCAAGCAACTCGAGAATGAATGTTAGCTAAATGTGTGTACATGTGTTTCTGTATCGCGCAGACTTACAAGTTTATAAACTATTACTGATCTATACATAAATGTAAAATGCGTAAATGGGCGAGGAAAGGCGTTGAATTCCTCGTTTAATCTTCTGATATAAGAGGTTATGTGTCACTTATTTTTTCTATTTGGATTTAATTCCAAAGTGCAGTGGTCATACAAGCTTCTTTGTCTACACGACACGCTGTCTAATATTTATGCGTAACACAATTTATATTGGACTTTCACATAAGTATTGGACGACCTGATATACTGTTTTGAAAGTGCAGTAAACCAGAACAAAGGCATGACGTCATAGTAATAATTTAATCATCATAAAATCTTACAGGCGCCTAAATTTGGAAACACCACGACACACTTTTAACTCAAGATTATTTTATCCTTTGCTTAGTAATTTCTATTTGTGGACAAAAAATAAATCGATTATACTTCTCATTCGTTCATATTTGTGTATCTATCAGGGTCAATCAATCAGATTACTTAATATATTGTAGATTTTTAGAGTTGTCTCCCTTGGTTTCCTGCAATTTAAATCATGTGGCAATTTCGTTTTTGTTTGTGAAAAGTATCAGGCATTTTTATAAGATATGAATTGCTTGTATCACGATTCAGAACTGTTCACTATTCAAGGGACAAAATGTGTATACGGCTGGATAGCTCAGTCGGTAGTGCCGTAGAGTATTCAAAGGGTCTCAGGTTCAAATCCCGGTCAAGCTGCACATTTTCCTCACCCCATGACATTAAGCAGCAAGCAGAAGCGTGACTGAATATATTGACCGAGACGTTTACACAGGAAACCGTCTCAAATAACAAGCCAACAGCTAATGAATAATAAAATATTACTACCTTTATTTAAAAGTAATATACTTTTTAAAGTAATGTCAGGAAAGAATTTCCCCTATTTAATGCGGTCTTTGTTTATTCTGTAATAGATGAATATATGTCACGATTCAGAACTGTTTAAGGGAGAAGATGAATAAGTCGGTAGAGCCACGGAACAGTTTCCAAGGTGCCCAAGTCCCGCCCAGGTTGTACATTTATCTCACCCTGTGACATTTGGAAACATGGCCAATTGATTGTTGGCCAGTATCATCCTGAGCTGCTTTTGGTTGTTATCAGTGTTTTTAAGATTGTACAAGGATTGATAAAAAAGTGTTTGGCCCGGTGTACTTCCGGTAGTAGTAGAACCAAACTTATGGTCTTACTTTTCAATAATATCGCTCTCTACGTCAACAAACTTTGCCAACTTGTTTAACCCTTCAAAATAGAACTCTCTTCTTGGTCCAAGAAGAACTCATTGACCGCCTCTATGACACCTTCATTGCTTCCAAAACGTCTACCACGAAGCTTGGTTTTCAGTTTCGGTAACAGGTAAAAGTCAGAGGGGGGCAAGTCCGGAGAATATGGGCGAGGGGGGGGGGGGAGAATTTCAAGGTCGCAATCATTTGCAGCAGCCATCGCAATCTGGTTAGCTTGCGCATTTTCGTTCAGAAACAGAACGCCTTGAGTCAGTTGCCCCCTTTTTACGCGCGATTTCTTGACGCAGACGTCTCAAATCGTCTGCATTGTACGTACCGTTTATGGTACGACCTTGCTCATAAAAGTCAAGCATGCTTATCCTCTGACTATCCCAAAACATTGAATCCAACAACTTCCCTGCTGAAGGCACTCTCTTGAATTTCTTCGGAGGTAGTCAAGTGTATCCATGAAGTCTTCATGGATTTTCTTCGGGGACATCCCTTTCTTACAGAGGTATTTCATGACGGCTCTGATTTCAACTTTCCTTATTTTGTCTAAATGACACACCCCTCTACTGATCAAAGAATTTTCATATATACCTCGTATGTGGGTGAATTATTTTTAGTAATTTGCAATTGTAAATTCAGTTCCACAAACTGGTAAGTTTGGTATTTTTCATATAAATTGTGATGTATTTAATTACAACTTTATGATATGATATGCATAAATTGATATTATAATACATCTTTGTTTGAGCTCCCTAAAATCCGAAGCATAATTGTTTGTATCGTGACAGGAATCATAAAATAACAGTGAAACGAATTATGTATGTTAAAGTTCTGTGAAGGAACAAATATATGGTTTTTCACGCCTTGCATTGTATATGGGATACTGTGCTTTGGAACATCTTATTGTTTTCATTGATTCGTGTACCAGAAAAGTTTGAGAAAAGTGATCATAAGAACTATGAAATAATTTTAGTTTCATATGTTTTTATTTGTTACTGTAGTGTATTTTGTTCACAAACATAGCTTAACAAGTTTCAATGGGTCACTATTTTGCTGCATAAGGAAATGTTATTTACAATGTATTTAAAGATGTTGCTAAAGATTTATTGATGATCATTACAAGAAGACATTGTGAGCAATTGGTGTAACATAACTGTCCTAAAATTCAAACGTTTGTACGCAATTAAATATCATCAGAAAAATAAACATTCAATTTGTATAAAGGTAACATAGAAATAAGTTTAACAGTTTAAAGTACAGAAAAAAAATGTCCTTAAAATAACAATTGCAAATGGTTTGTGTTCTTATAAGTCTTGAACAAATTACGGTATTTTGACACTGTGGTGTTTACAGTTAGCCAACGCTTGTCTTTATAGAAACCACCATGAAATCTGCAGTACCAAACATTCTCCTCTGGAAGAAGACGACCGAATTATATTTTGAATATATGAACGCTGGATAGGATGGCTGGCTGTCAAACAAACATCCGGGCTTAGATACAGCTGAATTTATAACTACAAGGTGATCACGGTCATTTGCACATCCACCATAATTTCTGTTAATGTAGAAACGACGATCATGTAGATTATTTATGGTATCTCCTTCAATGGAGAATTTGTTAAATGTACTTTTGGAAGTCAGGTCTGGCCAACTGGAGTCAATGACACGGCTCTTATCAAACCAGTTGTTCATGTCGCTATCTTTCCCGTTGAAGATCACGTATGACACTTCTTTGTCAGTATCATAGAATGCAAATTTAACCAGCTTGATATCAAGTTTTGACCAGTTGTCTAAGACGTTATCCCGATAGTGTAAACCATGAGAACGTTTCATAGAAACTGGTTTGTCTGGATTTGAATTATTTCCTGAAAATGACGAAGCATAAAATAACACTCACTTGTTTAATTTTAACATGATAAATGAAAAATTGGTAACTAATTAATTAAGTAAACATACAAAAAACAGACATAAAGGAAATTAAGCAGCTATATTAAATAACAATATTAGAAAAGCATATAATTATAGCGTGGCGACTAATGCTTTTTTATTCATTATACATTTTGACCATTCAATTTACAGTGTTCACGAATCAAAATGAATGATCCATCAATGCACATTTGTGAAACTGAATGTGTTAAAGAAAATTAATGACAATTTGCTTAAAATTGTAAATTCCTAGCATTAAAAACAATTTAAAACATTAAATTGTTGTTACGTTTTGTTACAAATTGATTTATTTCAATTAAGTATTCAGCGGTTTTCTTAACTAGCTTATGATAGTTTAATCTTTTGATTATGATATGGGTATGACATTACCTTTATGTAGAGAAGGAAGAAACGTGACCAGGAAGATATCGGGAAAAAGATATTCAGATTGATATGACAATGTTTAGGAGGAGATATGTTCAATCAGATATGGCAATATTTAGGTTAGACAGACCCAGAAGACTGAAAAGGTGTTAAATATTCTTATTGTTGAAAGGGGGTAGTATTTCTGTTTTGTTAACGTGTTTTATTTCAAGCTATTTTGTTTGAATTTCTAATATTTTTGTCTACTTGTTTGCAATCCTTAGACTCTTGTAAAAGGAAGATCCCTCAAGAGTAATGAAAGCAATTGTGATTGAGCGCGATTATCATGAGAGACAATGGTAAATTTATAAGATTAAGTATACGATTTTTAACACATTCTTGCACTCCATGACACCTATTGACTAGAACAATATTATAAAACTGAATTGAAGTACATAACAACTGATTACAGCTGACACACAACATTTGAAGCCAGCTTTGTGAAAATGAACGATACAAATGAAGAATTAAAAGTTAATTGTTAAGGATGTTTTTAGGAATAACATGAATAAAGTACCGTCAATCCAGGCATGGTAAACACTATGGCCATTGCCAGATGTCCCTCTAAATACCATCCTCCAACCATCTTGCTCTAAATCCTCCGTCTTCAATACATTCATACCACTGTTTTGTAAAGGTAAATATGTAAAGGGTAATTATGTATGTCAATATCGGAGATATCCGACAGATTTAGCATTTTTCATGATAAAAGAAAAAATCATTATCATGGTCGCTCGCTTCAAACATAATGCGATAATTTCTTTATATATTTGTTGGTGGTATTTTAATGAGTCATTTAGTTTTTTCTAAACTTACTTTTAATATGATTATTTTGAAATAAAGTTCATTAAAACCCTATTTATCTCACTTTTCATATCTGTACAAACAAGAAAATGGCTTTTAAGCTATTTTTAGACGAACAGATTCGACAAGAAATTTTGTTTATAGAATCAAATAAAAAAAATATACATTAAAGCATTTCTCTTTATTTTCTTTCGCATTCACACACACACATACACACACACACACACACACACACACACACACACCCACACATATATATATATAATGATAATGATAAAGACAGTTATAGGTTTTTTTTAATATGATTCAATATAAAACAATACTTTTAATGTTACAGTTCTAAAACAATGTTATCTCATTAATTTAATAAATTGACTTTTAAAGATATGGTATGCACATGAATTGAATACTGGAACATCAATTTACTTTTCTGTTTTTAATGACTGTTATGTGAACGACAGAGTATTGTCAAATATTTTACCGAGACAATTTTGATCTTGGTAAGATACCTTTCACTACAAATGCTATATAACATTCTGTAAAAGTCATATTTGAAAACACAAAAAACCTAACATAGGAACGATACATATCACTTTTTTAAGAAAAAAATGACAAGTTTATTTAACCCGATTAGGGTTCATAAGCGTTAAAAGCAATGCATAACTTTATAAGGATAACTTTAAGTTAGTGTATGCGACTCTGTTACTGAATGTGTTTTATATCTTTTCTTTTCAATATACATGTATATACACGTATATAACATAATATTACGTTACTTTCGGAAGAAATAGTGACAATAAGAAAGAATTAGATTGATAAATAAAATAAAATGGCAATAATTTGAAATAAGCAATAGCGCGAGCAAACAAATGAGTAACTCGGAAATTGTTAAGATAATTCTTTACCTGACAGCTGATGTCTCCAATGGATGTTATTGAACAAATTCGATACCTGTATAGCCCAATGTGGGGAAAGCCGTCAGAGTTCACAAAGAAACCATTTTTGGAATGTGTAGTAAATGTACGCTTCCTTAACAAATGTCGGTATAACACCTGTTGTATTTGTCTGCTTGTACCCTTATTTATACTATTTATACGACAAAACACACTAGAAACGCATCAACTATATGTGTATCAATCAAAGTCATAGTTTGAAACAAACCCGGTGAAAACAATTACGCCTATTTGGTCCTGTCACTATTATCTAATTCATAGTATCATATAGGGACGAGCTTAAATAACAAAAGCATATTCACATGTCTATTTATCATAGAGAAAAACTATACTGTCAATGTAATGAATTAGCGTTGTAATAGCATAACTTTTGTAACTATTCTATTTATATCTTGAATACATTACTTATAAATACTTGTTTTGTCTTTCATGCAAAACAAAATTCTTAAGAAAAAATGAATCATTCTCGAAAATAAAACAAGTGTCATATTAGCAAAGTAGCAGAATGTAATTTAGCAATATGTTAAAATGTGCACAATTCTTTGAGTCAATGGCTACATTTCCTTATATATATTGATAATTATGCAAGTGAAGTGGCAAAATACTTGCACTATTCTTTAAACGATTATTCAAACAAATATAGATAGCTGACGGTTTCTTTTTGCCATGCAGGCTTTTGGCAAATTCAACTCTTTTTACGCGCTTTAAATTATCTGAAATTGTGACACAAACTGACAGGTTTAAAAATTAATGTGTTTCGTTTTCTGTCTTTCATAGTTTTTGTAAAATTGCATGCAAAGCTTGCATTTGCCATGACCAATATTACTTTGCCATGTTTAAATAGTAACTTCCTTTGCCAAGGCAACTATACTGACTTAATGAACGTCCAGAACGGCAAATTTGACAATACTCAATTGATGTTTGTGTCATTACATCTCAACAACGACTTTCATGTCGAAACAGAAGCGTCACGTTTTTTTTTTTTTTTTTTTTTTTTTCGTTTTTGTTTCATACTGAAAACAGCCTGCCTAGATAAAGCTTATGTTCATCTTTCAATCTTTTTCTTTCAACAAGGAAGACAAATTTGTCATCTCTTTTATTTATAAATACAAAAGTCATGTTTATGGTATTTGATGTTATTGTGTTTCGTTTGTTATCGGAAGGATTGACTGATACATTTTAAAGCAATAATTTGTTTGCTACTAAATGACATGTACAATGTATTTCAAAATATTATTGATTTATCTTACCTCGTGATTTTCAACAAACTTACAATTGATCCTTTTGGTGGAGTTGTGCTGCTTTAATGACACTTAATGTTAATAACCTGTACATTTCAATGGACCTACCTAAGTTCAATAGTTATTCTAAGGTAAATCTAGTTTTATCAGTTAAGATATGACAATCCTTATTCATAACCTTTCCTTTGAAAAAATATTTAAATCGGCAAGAAAAAATAAGGGCATTTGGTTCAAACCTTAGAAGGCTTAACCTTTTTCTAAACATTTATTTATGTACATGTACCTCTCATAAACCTTTTGGAAGGAAAAAAGTGTTAACTTATAATAATAATAATTAATATAGTTATTCATTGGCTGAAAAGCTAAATTTTAAAAACAAAAATGGTAGATCTACCTGATATTTTTAAAGTCTAATAAAATCAAAACTACGGGATAAAAGTATTTTACTTAGTACATGTATAACAAGGTCAACCAAAATACTTTTAAGAAAATTTAGAGAAACTTTAAAAACAGCCCCCAATTGTTAATTGTTAGGGATTTTTGTTTCTTAGCCGATTTTCAAAGTAAAAGTCATTTACGCCCATATACTGCTATATCTGATTAGATTCTGTTAACAAGATGTGATACCGTGATGAGGCGGTATAGATATGTCTATTTCTTACCAACTAGCTCAAGTGAGCTGTGACTCAATTTCACTAAACCAAATAATAATGCTTACTCACCGTATGCCTGTTTATTTAGGATACTCAAGTAATTGTCAATAAAATAGAGAATAAGTAATTTAGCTCATAGCCCGGTTGACTCTTGTGAGCACTAGATCAATTTTGCACTGCCAGGTAAGGTGACGAACAAAGAGGTGTCTGCCAATTTGTTTCCTGATATAGGTATGTCAGTCAGGAATACTCAGAAAGCAAAACCATTGAATTGTCATGACAGTGACTAATATAATTATATTGCTAAGGATTGTGATTCAAACTTCCGACAAAACAATTCTTAGAACAAAATCACCTTTCTTCAAACTTTCATTTGGTTTAATTCAAATATGATCCAGAAATTTAAATGGAATTGATAAAAAAACACCTTTTTTGCGTTGGAAACTAAAGTAGAGCGAATTATGTCCGCTGCATGCATGTTTGTGTTCTGTTATAAGGAATAATAGTAATGCTACCTGTTTGCAAGGGGGATGGTCTGTTCACCTTATATAATAGTTCCATGATACCCTCTTACTTTTTATAAAGTAAATTAGTGTGTAAGTCATTTTGCACATCTCTGTTCGAAAAATTATCTTGTCACAATCTATAAAATGGGAGTTATACAAAATGTTAATTAATGTTTTTATGATACAGTTTTCTAAATATCACTGGGCACTCTTTGAATAGTGAACATGTCCTATTTTTGAATTTAGAAACTACCTTAATATGTGAATATTAGTATACTTTGGTAAAAGCATGATTTATTAGGCAGTCATATGTTTAAAGAACCGTTGTAAAACTTGCTTGCTAAACATGAGACTTAAACCTGTCCTTCAACCAAATATTCGATAACATATGACATTGATTTTTGTTATTATTGTTCAATTTAAAAATTCACTTTATAAATTGGTCTTACATTGAGAATTTTAATGTATTAAGAAGTTAAACATTTTGATGCTTTTCAAAAACGATACTTGTTGCGTTAAAGATTATTTAAAATATGCGAAAGCAATAATGTTATATTTATGTATTATAATCTTCGTTGATAATTTGATAATTGTTTTTCCTATGTCAAAATTTCTAGTTTAATTTATAGACTTGTCTTTTCAGCCTTGAAATAAAACGATCAGGTCGATACATTTAAACCCTCAAATAATTTCAATAAGATTGTGTTTCATTAAGTTATTTTTTCAATAATTGAAATTAATTTAATGCTCGTACATAAACACTGTGAAAATAGTTAAAAGAAAACAATTTCAACAAAATACCATACATGATACGATCAAATATCGATTACCTGAGACTTGTATTTAATAAGAATTTCAGTTTACATCTATGTTTAAAAAATACCAAATAACTATCTTGTAACAAAAATGCCAACGGAAATGTTTAAAGATTACATATTTGCTTAGGTATGCGTGCATGTGCTATTTCACATACGACGTAATGGACATAGAATATGAATATAGATAAAAAGACTGACGACGGAATAAATGAATTGTTTTGTTTCCATGAGTACTTTCCTTCACATCTCATTTTGGTTCGTTATCTATAGACATTTAATATATATAATTATATTCTGCCTGAAGTCTGAAAGAATAGAAATATAGATTTAAATTTACTCTAAATCATAGAGTTTATTCGATTTGTTAAGATATAACTTTAAATGGCGTTCATTTAAAATCATTCATGCGTAGAAATTCAGATATCGAATTACTTAAACCCATTTATATGCGTGTTATGTATGTAACAGAGTCGATTATTCAGGTGTCTTGCTACATTTTTGGTTGTTGAGTTGTTTCCCTTGCTTTCCCGCAATTTTGATCATGTGACTCTTTTTGTCTTTGTAGATTCGGCTTTGTTTGTTTTTATAAAAATCGCACCCGTGAAGGACAAAATATATCGAATATGACTTATATTTTATAAAGTTAGTGTTGCTTTTTGTCTGGATGTGATGTATGATAATAATGAAATTAAATGACAATATATACCGAATATGAATTATATTTTTTACAGTTTTCTTACTTCACACGATATTTTATAATAATAAAATAAATTTACATGCCAAAATGGTTAAATTTGATCGATAAAAGAGTAACAAGTTATATTTATTGCATGTTCTAAGTAAAAGTCATATCCGTTGCGGAAAGAAGATAACGATTATGACTTTTTAAGTTCCTTATGTTGCATGCTCTGTATAAAAGTCATATCAGTGGCTTATTGAAGATACCGAATATGACTCATTATTTTCAAACTTGTTCCTTTTTTGTAATTTATTGGTCATTTATAAAGTTAAAATAATAACACATGCACAAATGTGTTTAATTATGGCCGTAAATGAAACAGTTACAAGTTATATAAGTACGTTTCATATTCTAAAGTGGTACCCGTTTTAAAAACGCAACAAACATAACTTATAACTTTTTTATTTATGGACCAATTTTAACGAATTTGTGCATGTTATTTCACTTCATTGTAATTAAATATCATATCCAGACAAAAAAACTACAAAAAGAATACTTAATTTATAAAATATGTCATATTCGGTATCTTCCGTCCTTCACGGATATGACTTTTATGAAGAACGCAACGAATATAACTTATAACTTTCTTATTTATGGACCAAATTTAACGATTTTGTGCATGTTTTTTTTTCATTTCATTGTAACGAAATATCTCATTTAGACAAAGAAAAACCAACAACAAACACTTTCTTTATCAAATGTAAGTCATATTCGGTACCTTCTGTCTTTCACGGATATGATTTTAATAAAAAGCGCAACGAATATAACTTATAACCTTTTTATTAATGAACCAAATTTAACGATTTTTTGCAGAATTCTAAATTTACTATTAAAGTAGAAAATGAAAACAAAAAAGTCATTTACGTTCATAGCCTGGTTTGCTCTTATGAGCACTAGATCATTTTTGCACTGCCAGGTAAGGTGACATGCAAAGAAGTGTCTGTCAATTTGTTTGCTGGTATAGGTATGCCAGTCTGGAATACTCAGAAAGTGAAACCTTTGAATTGGCATGACAGTGACTAATATAATTATATGGCTTAGGATTGTGATTGAAACTTCTAAGAACAAAATCCCCTTTCTACAAGAATTACCTCGATTTATGCAAACATTGGATTAGTATTAGTCATTCAAATATCTCAAGCCATTTAGAATATAATTCCTATCTAATCAAATTTGTTTGCAAGGGGGTGGTTTTTTCCTTATAGAAAAGATCCATTTTATCGTCTTACGCTACAAAAGGTAAAAAGGTTTGTAAATCATTTTGGTAAAATAAGACATATTTGATTATCACACATCTCTTTTCGATAAATTATCTTGTCACAATTTTTAAAATGAAAGATATAAAAAATGTGAATTAATGTTTTTATTATGCAGTTAGCTAAATATCACTGAGATTTCTTTGAAGAGAGAAAATTTCATATTTGAATTTAGAAACTACCATATATGAAAATAAGGGTGTTTTGACAACTGCAGTCTAAGTTTATAGAACTGTTGTAGGCCGTCCTAATGGGGATGAATCAACGCGGTCAGCAATCCATAGAGTAATAATTCAACGCGTTAACCACTCTGCCATTTATTAATTGGAGACAAATTAATAATATTGTACATTGTAAATTATGCGTGATTGTATATATTTATGTTAAAATTAATACTGATGATTCGAAACATCTGGGTGTTATTTCATGCCTTAAAGGAAACCAAAGATAGAGAGAGAGAGAGAGAGAGAGAGAGAGAGAGAGAGAGAGAGAGAGAGAGAGAGAGAGAGAGAAGAGAGAGAGAGAGAGAGAGAGAGAGAGAGAGAGAGAGAGAGAGAGAGAGAGAGAGAGAGAGAGAGAGAGAGAGAGAGAGAGAGAGAGAGAGAGAGAGAGAGAGAGAGAGAGAGAGAGAGAGAGAGAGAGAGAGAGAGAGAGAGAGAGAGAGAGAGAGAGAGAGAGATATATAAGGATACTAATAAATATTTGTTTATTCGAAATAATAACGGATTTTATCTATTTACAGCAGAATCCCTACTTAAGGCCATCCCCGATTTAAGACATACCCGCTATTAAGATCATTGTTTAAAAGAACGGAATTTTCTATTATTTATGTCATTGATTACATGATTCAGAATAAAGACTACCCCGCTTATCCACTTTTAAGACAACCAGATTCAGTCCCAATTCCTTCTTTTATTCTTATTTGACCCCACTATTGAGACCGCTGATATTAAAGTCAACACCGACCTAGATCTTTAATTTGTTGTTATTATATGCTTGAATGCTTGAATGCTCTAAGGTATGACACTTAATACCCCAAGGTGTCAAGAACTGTTAATTATTAGGTTATTGTATGAAAAAGGGTGAAAAAGGGTGAAAAAGTAAATCTAAGTGTGGGGTAATGTTGCTGTCAGCACATTTTTTTTGGTAAAAATTAAATTTCTATTTTGATAGATGAATAATGTACATCATATAATAAAATGGCATAATAAAATAAAAATCAGACCAAAGAGAATTTAATGTTAAATTTCTTCAGAAAATATGCATTCCTCTTATCGGATTTTTATTATAACATAGTACTTTAATATTGTATTTGCATGTTATGATACATATTGTTAGTTCTAACAAAATAACTAAAATAGGCCATGGTCATAAAGTGTGTAAACAATGATGAGAATATTTAAAATTAAGACCACCCCCGCAATTACGACCGCTTTCACTAAATCCCAATGGTGGTCTAAATTGAGTGTTTTTACTGTATTTTCTTGAGTACAAGCACAAAAAATATTAAAAGAGCATGATAATAGAAAAACGGTATCGGCATTTCTGTGGAGCACATTTCCCTTACTGGGTAGTGAAGGATTTCACTTCAAGAACTTGGATTGACTTAACATTGGAGTTTCTCTCCATCTCTCCATGACGATTCTGTATATAACCCTTGGATCAAAACAGCTTTGAAAACAAAATCATAAAAATGGGATATGATGTGGGAATATAAGATAAACTCAGGTGTAAATGAGAATGCATCATTTAAAATAAAAAATGAAATTACAAGATAGCGAAGAACGAACAATAATAACAGACAGCAAGACTTATTAATGTATTCTATAAGATGGATGGTGCTGTTGGACCGGGATGATACAGTCTTTATAGGTTGGTATTGCATTTCTGTTGTTACTGATTTATTTAAAATATCACTTCATATAAGATCAGCGTACATTAAAAGTTTTAATGTATTACGGATTTCAACGTTTTGGTGCTCTTCCAAAACGATACGTATTGCGTTAAACTTGATTTACAATATGCAAATGCAATAATGTTATACTAGTATTTAAGTATTATAATCTTCGCCGACAATTTGAATATTGTTTTTCCAATGTCAAAGTTGCTACTTTCATTTATAGACTTATATATATATATATGACGACCAGTTCGTAACATATATACCATCAATTAATTTCAATGTTTCATTTAGTTGATTTTTTTTCCATAAAATTATATTACAATTCATGCATGCTAGCCAATGTGAAAATAGTCAAAACGAAATTGATATTTTCAACAAATACGATGCATGATACGATCAAATATCGATTGTCTGAGACTTGTATTTACTACACTTAAAGTTAATCTATTTTTTTAAACAATACAAAATAACTATCTTGTTACGGAAAGTTTTAACGATTGTTTAGGTATGCGCGCATGCGCTGTTTCACATACGACGTACAAGGCATAAAATGGTGAATATAGATAAAAAAAGACAGACGACGGAATAATTAAATTGTTTTGATTCCGTGAGTACTTTCCTTAAAATTTCATTTTTGTTCTTTATCTATATACATTTATATATACTTATATTTCACCTGAAGACTGAAAGATATAAAATAATGTCTAAATCCTATTTACTGTAATTTATAGGGTTTAATCGATTTGTTAAGTTTTAAATTAAAATGGCATGCATATGAATATATTTAAGCGTAAAAATTTGGATATTAAATTACTTAAACCCATTTATATGTATAGCATACAAATACACGGATATGACTTTAAGAAATGAAATAATAAAAGCCTTTTCAAGTTGTAAAACCAAACTCTAACTTTTAAAACTATACAGAAAATAAATACAATTCTGAAGTACTTAGAGAGTAGTTTTGGTTTATTTTCTAAATTAAAAAACAGTAAGCTATATTAATTTTAACAGAAACCCAGACCAAACATTAATCAACACTGAGTTGGTGTACGAATAGTGCAACTAAATGCATTATTTGGTTTAACACATTTCTTAATACATATAGATGTATTACCCTTTTGCGTTTAAAACGTAAGTATGATTACTATGACATCAAACTCTTAAATATCCAAGGGCGTTTAAATCTGATACACTGGGCTGATAATTAAAGCCACGATAATAAAAGAATGTTACCGAATTCAACGACCTTTTTCATGCTAAGATATACATTGTGGGATAGACAGACATAACATTTTATTGACGTAAACAGTACAGTTCTTGTGTCATACATTTTACAGGAGAATACAGTATTGAAGTTACAAAAAACTAGCCGAGGGTTAAAATAAAAAAGCAGAGAAATAAAATAAACATGTTTCGGCGATTTTTTTTTCGGATTTTTTTGGGTGAAATTACCCCCACCAACTTTAACAACGTATAAAAATTAAACAAATTGCAATTCCTTGCATTTTTTATTACAACAGCTTAATTGCACGTAGTTTTTATGACAAACAAAGTAGCCACTCGGATTATTTTTGTTATTTTAAGACAATCATTATAGTAAAACGTGCAAAAAATAGGCATTTTTATTTGATATTTTGACAAAAACATAAAACGCTATATCATTCACTGTTATTTTATCATAACTATGTTATTTCTGGAATGTTTGAACACCTTTTTTTTATCGAAAACGGCATAATTTTTGCAGTAAAATTTAAAATAATAAGAATATACCTGTTTTTCCATAAAATCGGCAGCCATATTGGACGCCATCTTGGATTCTGAAGCGTTGTGATAGCAAATTTCTTTAAGCTTTGGATATTTGTAAAGGAGACACTTTATACTTACTTTTGTTTAAGTTTCAGATTTAGTAAAAATTTCGATTGAATTGCCCTTGGCTCTTAGTCTATTATAATATATTAACAGCAGTTATACATTTGTGAAGAGAAAGATATCCTTGACCTCATTTTGCCTTTAAATGTATATGCAAAATTGAACTTCGTCAAAGAATTTCACATATCAATAAAATCAAAGCATAAATGCACTGAAGTTTTGACTTGTGAGATATCTTAATAGTATTTCCGTTTATGACTAATCACTTATGCATTGTGTCAGTTAACGACGGACCCGGCCTGGTGCTAACTCTTTATATAAAAATAACTCCTAATTAGGAATTATAAAAGTTTTATCAAGACTATACATCCCATAATTAAACATTTGAAAACACTGATTAGGACACGAAAATCATAATTAGGAATTTTAAAAATCTAAATAGGAGTTTATAAATGTTACATTAGGTGAATAAACCTTATAAGAAAAATTAAAAGCCTTTTAGGGCTTTGTATCTTCCAATTGGCAGTTATAGTAAAAACCTTATATCAACATTTTTACTCCTAAATAAGAGCTAGGATTAATAAGATCCTATCAATGACTTTGTTAAAATTCTAAATAGAAGATGATTTAAAAGTTTTAATTTAAACTCTTAATTAACTTATTAAGTAGGAGTAACAAAGTCCTATTTGGGCCTTTTACACTGCTAATGTGTTAACTCTATCACATTTCGATATAAATGATAGTAGAAATGCGCATTTTCAAAAAATATATAAATAAGTAAGTGTTGTGTATTTTTGCATAAATCTTATTTCAATAAAAGTAAACGGTACAATTTTCAGTTTAATATATATTTATTTCAATAACATTGTGGCACATTTGCAAAAAGTTCCAAAGAACTATTCGATGTTTTCGACAATGAAGACTGCCAGATCGTGAAATCCCGTTAAATCTTAGGCATCACTAATATTTCGTTAATACAAAAATCATACATAATGTCAAACATAAGCATTTTTAATTAAACTTGCAGAATGGCATCGTTAAATGAAGAGAGATATTTGAGACACCTATGGCTGCTAGGCGACGGAGGTTTGTTTGTATTACGGGGTGTTGTATCGAGAGAAACAACTAAGAGCGGTCGCACTCTTGATAATCTTCTGCAGAAAGGACGAGCTCAGTTCAAAGGAGTTTTACAGGAACAACAACATTGTCTTTTTCCTACTCCTACGACAGTAAACGCAGACACCAATACATGGGATATGTCGCTACTCTTTGTTGTGCTGAAGAAACTTTTTTTGTCAGGCCTTTCCCTTTCAGAAAGAGCTTCTTTGTCAACTTTGAAGACCTATCGAAATGATTTCCAAGGACATCCTCCGATATTGTCTATGAATGCATCCGATTATTCAAGCAATC